ATTTGTGGGTTTATTAATAATATTTGTAGGTTCGAATATAATAAGCAGGTGGATAGTATCCCCGTATTAAATTTTTTTTTATTTAAATAAAAACAAATACTAGTGTTTAAAATTATTTTTTAAAGAAATACCTCTTTTAAAAATGGTTCTTTATATTTATTAGAATCTTTTACAATTTTAATAGCTACTTCTTCATATGACCCGTATTGGTTTAAATATTTTGTTTTAAAAACAGTAGAAAATGCTCCTTTACCTATCTCTTCAATATTTTCAAATTTATCATATGGCACCCAATGAAAAAATTCTTGTTTTTTATTAACAGTGTTTTGTTCAGTAATAGCTGATTTTAAATACCATTCAAAAGCAATATCTATATTTTTTTCAACAACAATGCCTTTTCGATAATATTCACCAACCTTATACATTCCATTAGCATGTCCTTTCTCTGCTGATTTTTTATAATATTCAAATGCTTTGTGATCATCTTGTTCAACTCCAGTTCCATATTCATAACTAGATCCAACATTATATATTCCAATTATATATCCCTTATCGGCAGCTTTTTTATAGTATTCAAATCCTTTTTTTTATCTCCAATTTGATAATCATAACAAATACCAATATCATTTATTGCAGTCGTACTTCCCATATCAACAGCTTTTTGATAACATTCAAGTGCTTTATCTATGTCTTTATTGACAACTACTCCATTTTTATAATACAGTCCAACATTACGCATTCCACGAAAATGACCCATATCAGCAGCTTTTTGACAATATTCAAATGCTTTTTGTTTATTTTGTTCAACACCAATTCCTTCTTCATAACATACCCCAACAGCCACTATTCCATCATCATTACCCATATTAGCAGCTTTTTGATAGTATTCAAATGCTTTTCGTTCATCTTTCTCAACTCCGAATCCATTTCCATAACATTTTCCTATGGCACATAAATGACCCAAATCTGCAGCTTTTCTAAAATATTCGGATGCTTTTTTTTTATCCACTCCAGTACAATGACCATCAGTATATTCTCGTCCAAGTTTATATAATTCTTCAGCATCTTGACTCATGATTATTAAAATTTATTTATCATTTAGTTTATTTAATGGTTTGCGTTCGAATCCGTATAATGTAGATTACACAAAAATGCAGATTTTGAACATCTGATTTTATTTATTAGTTGTTTCTGTCATACTTGAACATTGCATTGCATTATCCGATTTAGAACAATACGCAAAAGAACATCTATTTTTTTTTATTTTTTGCACATTTATTAAATATCAATTTTATAAAATTTAGATTATATGTGTAACAAGATTTAAAGATGTGCCTCTCGCGCGAGATCATATGATTGTGAAATATATGCTACGTAACGCTTGGTTTTTCGCCCGAGAGACACATCCCCAATAAGATTAATAAGGGTAAGAATAAATATTGTGTAATATTACTCCAACTCGTTTATATTTATCGGAATCATGAAAAATTTATTTAGCCAAAAATCCGTGAAGGTGTGATCCGTTGATCTGCAATCAGGATTTGTACACTAAAATTTTTAGACTTATTGCTTAGGCCTTACCCCCTACTTTCTAAGCTAAAATAAAAGCGTGCTACATGTTAAATACTATGTAATTCCTATTTCATAAAATTTCTTTATAATGTTCCAAAAATTAGTTATCTAATGTAATAGGACTTTGATGTTCAAATTTAATACTAAAAACGGAACCTGCACGTGACACTTATCAAGATTCTTCCCAATCATCACGCGCTGATTTCTTTCATGATACAACAATAAAGTTGATCATAGACTCGGGTAGTTTCAAGAACCGTGAACCCAGTGATCATCACATCACATGATAAACCATTCGGCCTAAGTTAGGGTTAGTGTAAGGGTTAGGTGATAGTTAGCTTAGGCCGATTTTGTTAGTGCTAGTAAACAAATAAAATAATTGCATGATTTACGTGACGTGATGATCACTGGGTTCATCTTTCATGAAGTGTCCCGAATTTTTTTCTTCCTTAAAAAAAAAAATGAATTCTGAACAACTTTTTAAACTTGGTTACAAATATGAAGATGGTAATGGTGTCAAGAAAGACGAAAAGAAGGCTTTTGAATATTATATGAGAGCAGTTGAATTAGGAAATCCACATGCGATGAATCATGTTTGTCTTTGTTATTATTATGGAATTGGAGTAGAAGTAAATTACCAGAAATCATTTGAATATTGTAAGAGATCTGCTGATTTGAATAATGCTGAGGCAATGTGTAATGTAGGTTTTCGTTATGAAAATGGAAGAGGAGTCGAACAAGATTATAATAAAGCATTTGAATACTATAAAAAATCTGCTAATATGGGTGTTGATGCAGCGATGAGTAATGTTGCTCGATTTTATCGTAACGGTACTGGTACAAAAAGAGATATTCAGAGTGCAAATTATTGGTTCAGAGAATATAGAAACCTTTTGAAAACTAAAAAATCACCAGATCATATCGACCCTGAATTTAAGAGAATAATAGATTTAAACTATCTTGGATTGATTATAATGAATTCAAAAATATTAAAGAAGTGGGAAAAGGAGGGTTCGCAACTGTATACTCGGCAACTAGGCTTGATAAAATTAATAGTATATGGGAACGTGTTGCACTTAAAGTGATTTGTGGTTCAAATGAAAATGTGCAAGAATTTATTCATGAATTGAAGAATTATTGTGAAATTGGTTACGAGAATCCTTCGTTCTTGGATTGCTTGGGAGTGTCAAGAAATTATAATGGTGATTATATTATGGTTATTCAGATTGCACCAGAAGGTTCGTTACGACAAAATCTTGCACGGGTATCACAATTAGAATGGAAGGATAAATTGAGTATATTGAATTGTATAGCTTTAGATCTCGAGTCGATTCATTCGCAGGAACTTGTTCACAGAGATTTACACAGTGGAAATATTTTGCAAGAAGATTTGAATAACGCATATATCACTGATCTTGGACTTTCTAAGAAAATAAAAGAAGGAAAAATTTGTGGAATTTTACCGTATATAGCACCTGAGATTCTGGTGGGTCAACCTTATATACAGGCATCAGATATTTATAGTCTTGGAGTTATCAACTGAAATTTCGACCGGTCAAAGAGCATTTGATGGAATTCCGTTTAATGGTGATTTAGTGTCAAGAATTATCTCTGGATCAAGACCTAAATGTTTAGGACCAGATTGTTATATTAAATTAGCTATGAAATGTATGGATAAATATTTTGATAAACGACCTACTGCGACTGAAATTATTGAAATAATCACTAGTTGGTTAAATAAAATGGAACAGGAAGATGATAATGAAATTAAAAAACAAGTTTTGGAAGATAATACGCGTAAACCAGAACCGATTAGACAAATACATTCACAAGACATGTATACTAGCAAGGTATTTAATACTCGAAATTTTCCGAATATAATTAGTACAGAAGAAATTTGAGCAAATTCTTAAAAATTAAAATTTATAAATATATGTTAATGTAGCGTGCACTTAGGAAAATCATAGTATTGTAATTTTCTTAGTTATCAAAATTTCTGCAATATTAATTTCATCGTATTCAGAGATAAATATTTTCATCTTACTTAACCTGTAAAGTTTAAATTTTCTTAACAATTTTTGTAAAACTTTAAGATCAATTTTATTTTATTTTATTTTATCTTTACGTTGAAGTTCTGTCTTAAATATCCTTTGAAATCTGTACTTTAATAAGTAGACAATTGTTTAAAAGATAATGAATGTGCTCAAGTTTTTATTGTATTGTAAGAAAAAAAAACATGATGTAGATTTTTACCAAAATTTATTGTGTTTAATGCAATACAAAAACTTAATCTGGGATTTTTAAATACATTAATTTCGTTTTTTAAAAAGTTCGTACTAGTCATTTATTAAATCTATAATATTTTAGCCAATATATATATGTCGTGTCTCAGATCGGTTCTTGCCTCAGGTGATCATATAGGTGCCTCAGATGCAGGGGTGGCAAAAAGACAGTTTAACCCATTTTTTCACCTGTTTAAAACATGTGATAAGTAAAGTCTGAATATTGATTTAAATAATGTTCACCTGTTTTTTAATTACGTAATAAAAAAACATTTGCCATCCCTACTCAGACGCTAAGCTTCAGATGAGGTTTGTATAGATTTCGGATCTCTGATTTTTATTTCCCTGCCATTCGTATAATCTCTTTTTGAACAAAAATTTTCGCTTTGCCATTTGTTTTTTTTATTTTCTTTAGTGAATTAAGATATAACAGACATATGTAATACTTGTACATAAATAGAGAATGTACAAATATTGTATAGTAATTTCGAATGCATGGTAAACAAAGCTTATAAAATTTAGCTTTTAAAAGTACCGTAAACTGCCATATAAAAGACCCGGGTCTGTTATATTTTACCCATTTTAAAACCTATTAATAGACCCGTGGGTCTCTTGTATGGGTACGGGTCTGATAACTGGGAATTTATATATTAAAGGTTATATGAAGGTTTAGTACATATCTAATATGTAAATATAACCTTTTCTGTTTTGAATACGTATCATGTAACTATTATATATCGTACCATCTTTTGAGTTTTTAGCTATTCTATAAATCGCAATTGCCGAATGCTCCCGTGTTTATAATCTTTAATTAGATTTTAGTAACCAAAAAATTTTACTATATATATTTAGCTAGTTTGGCTTGCTAACAATATTTTTTTATAGTTATAATAGCGATTAGATATCTTATGGCTTTTTTTTCAACTACAGTGAAGCTTGGATCCAAGTATCCGTTTAACTATTTAGATATATATACCATTGAGTAACATAAAGGTCCTGTCTAAGAACACCATTTGTTAGCCAATTCATTAAATCTCGTGATATTACCCAGTTTATTTTCAAATACTGTATATATAAACCGTAAATCGGCATTTGCAATTGAATTCTATAAAACCCAACATTAACTAAAATGAGCATGATTATAGTCAATGGGGGCGCATTATTTAACTATACACATGCAATAAATAATAAATTTGAAATTCAAGCTTGATTATCTACCTGATTTTAGAGGTGAATTTTGAAGATTCAAATAATAAAAGCGAAAACTCAGTGATGGCAGAATTAAGATTACGAGTTCATTACAAACTATTGAGTTAAAAAAATACTGTACATATAAATTATTAAAAAAAATCATGAACTATGAATGAAAAAAAAAAAAAAAAAAAAAAAAAAAAAAAAAGAGGGAGAAAGAAAAAAAAGAAAAAAAAAAAAGAATAAAAAAAA